AAATCGTGGACATTTTTACAATACTTTTGTCCACCCCCAGTGGCTTGCAAGCTTATGACGTCAAAAATCAGGCTTCGATACTGGTGGGGGGCAGAGTACAGATACTGCTACATTTTAAAACTGTTCTTGAGAGTGGAGCAGCTCAGCATGATAAGGTATCTGGTTGTTGAGAGTGAAGTAGCTCAGATAAGGTATTTGTTTGCCTTCTGAAAAACGAAAATCACAGGTCACTTAACATTGACTGCAGTCAGTCCTTCTGCTTAACTATTGTACGTTCTAACTTTTGTCACACAAAGTCAAACCGTTAGGATCTTATCAGACACAGAAGTGCTGGGAATGGAGTAGTTACAAATGGGTTGACGTCCCCACCTTGTGTCTTACCTGTACTTAGTGTAAGAGACACGCAAACATGCAGGGAATGGAGCAGTTACAAATACACTCAACCATATGGTTGACGCCCTACCTTGTGTCTTACCTGTACTTGGTGTAAGAGACACGCAAACATGCAGGGAATGGAGCAGTTACAAATACATTCAATCACATGGTTGACGCCCTACCTTGTGTCTTACCTGTACTTAGTGTAAGTGACGCGCAAACATATTGCTCATTGAAGTTAGTAATGAAAATACAAAAAATTGATTTCAAATAAAAGAATTGAACATATACAAAAGTTAAAGTTAATTCGAGGACCAATAAAAGTCTGTTTGTTGTTAAATACAACGCTACACAATGGGCTATTTGTGCTGTTCCTATCACGGGTATTAAAATCCGGTTTTTAGCGTTATAGACCTTCAAACTTACCGCTGAGCAACTGGGGGAGAGGGGCACCAATGAAAGAGAAGAAAAAATGCCGTTAAGACAAAAGCCATTCAATAAACAAATCTAGATATACACGAGAAAATTTTTTTTAAAAACTCATTTCTGATTTTATGTATGATATAAATAATTTTTATGCAAATCTTACTGCAAACGTATCGAAAAATTAAGTATCTTAATACCTATATATTTTAGTGGTATGATTTTTATTCTACTACATATATTTCATCTGTTTTTGCTTCCACGAAAAACTACTCATAATCTGGTATACAATACTTCAATGCTACTCTGTGAGCTTTCTCAAAAATAAAAATAGTTAATCACAATATTCTTTTGAATTTAATTATATCCTAAAACAAGAGATTAATACATTTCCCCTACAAACTAGCGATGTCCCTCTCTATTTTCTTCTTTGATTGTAATTAAGCACAAAGCTACACGAGCCATCTGTGCTCTGCCCACCACGGGTATCGAAACCCGGTTTCTAGCGTTGCAAGTCCGCAACTATGCCGTTGTGCCACTGGGGGGGGGGGGGGGTATTTTATGCTCTATACACATATTACAACAAATACACTATTAATTGATAAAGGGGCTAATACGTTTTTTTATTATTATTAAGCATTTCCAAAAACGTTTCCTTACTTTCTAATATTTTGATTTTAAAATTCATGCTAAATTTCCTGTAATGCGTTTGTTAACTATTCCATTGCTGTAATGTGTTTGTTGAATATTCCATTTCTATAATTTCTGTAATACGTTTGTTAACTCTTTCATTTCTGTAATATGTTTGTTGAATATTCCATTTCTGTGATATGTTTGTTGAATATTCCATTTCTGTGATATGTTTGTTGAATGTTCCATTTCCTTAATGTGTTTGTTGAATATTCCATTTCTGTAATATGTTTGTTGAATATTCCATTTCTATAATTTCTGTAATACGTTTGTTAACTCTTTCATTTCTGTAATATGTTTGTTGAATATTCCATTTCTGTGATATGCTTGTTGAATATTCCATTTCTGTGATATGCTTGTTGAATATTCCATTTCTGTAATATGTTTGTTGAATATTCCATTTCTGTAATATGTTTGTTGAATATTCCATTTCTGTGATATGTTTGTTGAATATTCCATTTCTGT